TACAATGGACTCCGGACTAGGTGCGTTCCTCTAAGTCTTCCTACCAATATGACCAAGTTGCGAAAACAACCTCTATATAACGAAAGGAGACTGCGACCACACAAAATTCCACACCATCTTGGCCTTCATACCTTCGATTATAATTCTTTTTATTTTTTATTCTTATCCTAGTCAAGCCCTTTAATCAGTACAAACATCCCATATATAATCTTCAATATTCATAACATATGTGCCAATTTTGATACGTCTATTAATCATTGTAATCTAGATTCGCATCAAGTCCTCCGACTATGTCTTGGGGCTGGTTCTGACTCTGGCAGCCCAGAGGCTCGCGCAGGTGCTGGCCAGGGAGCTATCTTGGCAATGAGCCAAAATGCCAGTGGAACGCGCCTTCTCACTGGATATGCTAGTGGCCGATTGGCAATGTGGCAAATTCCTGCACCATGTGAAGCGACATCAACTAGCTTATTTGCGAGTGACTCATCCTTTTTCAACTTTAATACATCTCAAACTTCTCGGAGAAAAGTAGGCAAGAGTGTAAGCATTGTTGTGTATATTTACCTAGTAGGTGAGCATCTCATTGTTAAGCTCTGAAATCTTGTAGGTACTTTTGGTTGTGTAGAATGTTTTAATTTGCGGCTTATGTATAAGTGTGGAAATGCATATTATGTATGCGTATGTTATATTACTCATGTGTGAAGTATGAAATTTATTTTTACTTTAAATCTTAGCGTGATCTTGAGAGCCTTAAGACAGGCAGCATGGATTTGCGTATTCGAGGGTCGGAAGAAGGAGAAGAATCAGGAGTTCAGCTAGACTTCAGTCAGGAGGAATTGCAAGAAGCTGAACGGCTAGATTGTTTGGATAAAGACGAAGAAATGAAAAGGACAGAAAAGGAGTTCATATCGCTCGATCCCTCCGCCCATTCTGACATTTATTTCCATGATACTCAATCTCAATTGTCGGGGCAAACAGATGTTGGTATTAGATTCCGTCGACTGCGTCCTGCCAGTGTTGGAAGCCTCGGGGCTGGGACCTCGGATTGCCGGGGCCGATTGCTGCGCATCATAGACGATGCCCATGGGGTTAATCAGCCCATTCTATTTTGTGCATTCACTGCAGCCCCTGCAGTGGCCATCTGTGTAGATGCAGCTGGATCTGCCTTTCGGTTGTCATTCAAGTGAGCACTATTTTTTATATTGAATAAAACCCTTACATTATCTAGCCATCATATACATATACTTACAGATGAAACAGCATAAAGATTGAAAAATTTATTTTTACTGTATCTTTTACTGAATAATCTTAGTAATAACCTTTTAACAACGCGTCCAAGCATCGTGTTTCTTTATTCACTCTTGTTTTTTTTTAATTATATTTATCCTTGGTTGATAGCTTCTAATCCCCATCCACGTCTTGTTTTTTGTCCTAGGCGGGGCCTTTTAGGAAGATCTACCGACTCTGTTTGCTTTTTCAATGGCAGGTAAACACCTTAACATTTTTGTTCAACATGTGTTTTTTTGACTTCTGATGATTGAATATTGCTATTGTTTTTAAAAATCCTGATAATACTTAATCTTATATGACTAGTAGAAAGAGCAGTACCGACTACTTCCTGCCTGTATATATTTTTATTTTTTATCGTTTTTATCAGGTTATAATAACCAAATTCTTTTTATTCTCAAACGGAAATGAGTTTAGACGCGATCGACAGTTTTTACTATGCCAGGAAATATATGCGAATAAAGTTGAGTTTTGAGGAATCTATAGTTTCATAATTCTTGAGCTTAATTCCATTTCGAGTGAAAGTGTTGCGTGAAAAGATTCGAAGGTCGATTCCACCAGAAGACGGCGGATTCCTCTTGGCTAGCTGCCGATTGGCTTTACTGGAAGATGCATGCTGACGCTGTCTCCGAGGTAATCTCCTTCGATTCCGA